CTATTTTGACATAGTGATAGATAACTAAATTAATGTCAACTTACTCATGAGAACTCCCATTGGGCTTTATGGCCTGAAATTTCCTCGTTTAGTCCAATTAATGCCTTTTGCATACTCTACTGAGTGAGTCTCTCATCGCTTTCTGTTGGCATCTTGGCAAGCCAAGACAGTGATTTTTTTCAAGATAAATCAAACACAATAAATACCAAGAAGCATGTATTCTTTTCCATGGGTAAATTCATGCATGGAAAGGAATGTATCTTTCATTACTGACTCTTTCATTCTTTGATAAGTGTCTGTCAGGGCAATTGCAACAAGTTCCTTATCTTTGGATGTTCTGCAGTGTCAGCTCTCAATCTTGGAGTCACCTAAACTTCAGAGATACGTATCAGGTTCTCCAAGATTATCTAGCTCCATGGAACTTTGCTGGATCCTTTAACAGACAAGGACTCATGTATTTTTGCACTTTGGCAAGCATCCAATCCGACGATATTTCTCATTAAAAGCAACCCACATTCTGTGAGTGGTTTTGTGGAAACTTGTTTGAATAGCGGTGGGGGTTGGGAGCTTATAATGACATCTCTGCTTTTTTTTAAAAAATCACTTGTTATATGGTCTGTTTGATCTCCCCTTCTTTTTCAAATGTGTGGATGTCTTCTTCCTTGTACAGTATTCTCAGCTCTGAGGCTTAAGCCTGACCTATGCTAACAAGACAAAGGCTTCGCATTTAACACATTGTTCATTCCATTATCTTTTAAGTGTCTGGGTATGCATCTGTCTTGGCCCCTTTCTCATGGAGACACAATAGCTAATACCTACACCTTAAGAGGTACAAAGTCTTTTGCCCAGAGATTTCACCTATTAGTAGTCTAGCTCCAAGGCAAGGGCAGCTTGGCAGAGGGGAAGTCAGAGGAGAGTTACAGCGTGGCAGACAGAAAGCAGAGTGAAGGATCAACAGAAGAGTGAGAATGATAGACCTTTCCAGACCATGCCCCCAGTTACTCACTTCCCCCAACCAGGCTCCACTTCCAAAATCACACTTAGCTGTGAACGCATCATGGACTAATTGACCACTGAACATCATTCCACACAGCCCAGTCACATCCTTATAGCCCCATCTATGAGCACTCAGAGTTTTGAGGGGATGGAAACCATCACAGCATCTTTCCCTACCTTCTTAGCTGAGTAGATGGGATGACAAAGAAAATCTTCTTATTTTTTTGAAGAAAGGTTAAGAAAGTAAACAAATAAACAATTGTTTCTAAGAAAGGATTCTCCTGTCATCTTTCTTCAAAGGTTATTAATGTTTCTCTGAAAGTACAGACAAAAGAGAAATAACATGTCTAAGCTGGTGAGCAAAGACCATTGAGAGATCATTGGCCATTGATTAGCAAATTCTGAAAGATTTCCTGGAGTCTGGAGATCAGAAAAGAACAGAGAAATTCTAGAGAGTTAAGATTATGTTTAAGCAGGAGAAGAATGGCCAACATCGAGACCTGGACAGCCTGTAGCTACGGACCCCTACTTCTTTCCAGTCAAGGTTCATTACATGCTTTCTTGTTGTATTCATTCTTTCCAGATCTACCCATTACTCTGTTGTTCATTTTTGAGGGAACAATATGCAGTATCTGCTTTTTATAAAGTTATATTCTCCAAACCCACGTGAATATAAAGGGTCATTTGGAAATCATAAGAATTATTTGTAGGCAGGAACATGAAACATGGCCCAGGGCCAAGACTGCTTGATGCTTGATCACACAAACTCTCCTTGATTTCAAATGATTCCATATTGGAACATAAAAGGGTTCATCCTTGATCCAGGGGTGCAGTGTGGAATCAGAGCTAGGGGTATTCATGGTTTAAAGAACTTGGCAACAGAAACTTCCACATTTTCCCACCTGTTTCTATCTTGGACTTGGCTAAGATACTATCTGGCTGGCAACGGAAGCCATTCTAAGAACAGACATTGCACAGGAGCTTCCTGAGGATTCCTCAGATGGGACAGAGTGTGTGGTCTACTCAGCAACACTCAAGTGAATACTTTGCCCAAGTTTAGTCCCTCTCCTATTGTCAGTGGTGCTAAATTTCAGCTCTTGTAGCATGGGGCACACAGGATGGAATGATTAAGAAAGGGATTTTTTGGGCTTTTTTTGTTGTTTTTTTGAGACAGGTTCTTGCTGTATAGTCCCAACTGATCTTGAATATACTTTGTAACCCAAGCTGGTCTGGAGCTTATGGTATTCTTCCTGCTCCAGCCTCTTAAGTGCTGGGATTACACGGTTTCACCATCTCACCCAGCTTTGAATTTGGTCACGAGGGACTTTTTAATAAAAGGGTTAGTAAAAGCTCTTTAAACTTTCAGTTTTGATTTTTTAAACTTAACATGTAGAAGTGAAGTTAACAGTTATAGAGAGTTTTGAGTGTATTTTCCATATCACCTCTACTTTTACACTCTGTTGAAACTGCACCAACCAGAAGTTGAAGAAAAAGTGATATTTTTCCTCATGGGCAGAAGCTGTCTTTCTAAGATTGCTTCTTGACATGTTTGTGCTTCTCTGAGTTTTTCATTGTCTGCACTTGATTAATGTAGTTGACTGTTAATCAATATTAGCAGCCAGGCTAGTAGAGATATTACTGAATTATAAATGATCTTTAAAGATATGTTCCAAGAAGCAATCACTTTTAAGGCTGCATTTGTTATCACAATGTTGACAACCTTGATATCAGGACTTTCATATCCGGGGGAATAATGAAATTTCTACCCAACACAGATTTTCTCTGTCTTTGTTCTATAATAACTGAATATTGCTTTAGGTTGTTGAATGGTAACTTTTTTGTTTCTTTTCATCTAAAGGTTTTTAAGAGGGTTTCTTTTCCTTGCCATAGAATTTTTTAGATGTGAGTATAAAATTGCAAAGAAGAAGTGCTTGCCTGAGAAGGAAAACTTGTGTACTCTCAGTCTTGTTGTTGCTCTTCTGCTGCTCAGAGCTGATGGGCTATGGGTTGTGTGTGTGTGTGTGTGTGTGTGTGTGTGTGCTGTTGGCCTCTCATCACTTACTGAGAGCAAGATGACAAGAATCTAGCGGAAGTGCTTTTTGGAGGTGAATGCTGGTGATGATAAGATTGTTCATGTAAATTCAAAGAATCACAGGATCTCAAATATGTGTGAGTAATTCGAGTTGCTCTTGCGGGTGGGGAGGATATGCCCATTCCTGGCTCTCTACAGGAATAGCTCTCTGATGGTTTAGTGTTTATAAAAGTTTTCCATATCTGCTTTGTTAATTAACATGAAAATAAGAAATGTGTGGAGTCTATTGGTATTGGCAGAAAGGATGACTAATTTTTATATTCTGGAAAATATCCAGTCATACAACTTCCAATGTTATTTCTTGGAGGTTGCTAGTGGTACTAGTTAACAAGCATTTGGAGTATCAGTGTGTCTAGTGCCCACATTCAGAGCTGGGTTAAATTCAGAGTTATATCTGCTGCCATTTAATTATGTTCCGCCCAACACTGGCACCCACTTTTGTGCCTGGGTCTGGGTTCCTGTATTGCCTGGTACCTTCCCCGAGTCAGAGGCTGGGTTGACTCTTCTCTTGATTTGTGACTGTGCTGCCCATAGTAACTTCTGACTGATTGATGGATAAGGGAAACAACTAAACATCTAATGTGGAGGAGCTTTTAATTAGCAGGGACCATATTTTACCGTTTTGTCTTGAATTGTTCTCCTTTGTTCTAAGTGGTCCACTTCATGGAAGGAATACTTAATTAGAAGTCCCAGCTGGGTGTGGTGGCACATGTCTGTAACACCAGCACTCTGGGAAACTGAAGCAAGATGATGTGCAGTTCAAGCCAAGCCTGGGTTTAGTGAGAACCTGTCTTAAAAAATAAATAAATTAACAAAAAATAAAGGGCTGGGTATTTTATTCAATGAAAAGGTCCTGAGTTCAATACTCAGTACCAGGCAAAAAGACGAAAAGAAAAGAAATCATCCTGATCTGTGGGAAAACTCAAGGAAGATAATCTAACCTCAAAGGTGCTCTAAACCAGTGTCCCCACTTCTTTGGCACCCAGGAGTAGTTTTGCGGAGAAGAGTTATTTGCCACAAGAAAGGGGACTAGGGAATGGTTTCAAGGATTGGATCCACCTGAGGGGCAGCAGCCTAGATCCATTTAAATCCATTGCATGTGCAGTTACAGTAGAATTTAAGCTCCTATGAGAATCTAATGCCCAACTAAGTGATAGGAAGTGGAGCTCAGGAAGATCTGCATGATCTTCATCAAGCAGATGAAGAATGCAAAGGTTCTTCAGTAAATAAATGAGATGCACTGAAGCCTTGGCTGATGTCGTGTTGATAAAGATAATACTAGCTAGCACTGCATGACAAGGCTGAGTACTTAGTAGGCGTGATATCTTTTCATCTTCACTACAGTCCTAGGAGCAGGTGGAGGGTTTAAAAAGTTAGAGATTTGCTTAAGGTCAGACAGGCTGTAATCTGGTAAGTACCTCACACCAGGTGCTGTGCTCTGCCTGTGGCACCCACTGTCTGGACCATTGCAGCATCAGAGCTGGTCCTCAGGAAGCTGGTCTGTGGGGCCTCCACACGTAGCTGCTGTTTTTAGCAGCAGGTCAGAGGCACAGCTGTGCTAGGATTTGACCTTTACTTCTGCTTCCTTCCTGCTGGCACAGAATGACCTGGGGTAATTTTGGGTAAGTACATTAGTTATACAACATAAATTAGTAGATTTGAGGTATAAAATGAATGAAGCTTGTTTAAGGCTATGAAAGGCAAAACAAAACCCAGAGCCCCTAAATTATTCCATAAACATGCTTTGATAGATGGCAGGAGAATAAGGCTGTGTTACTTAGAACAAGTTCTTTTGGAAGTGAATTTTGAAAATGGAGTCAGCTTGATGCACTAGAAAGAAGAGTTAAAATTCATGAGGTACTTGGATGAATTCTATGAGATAACATAATTAAGCCCAGCAGACTTCCTTCCTCTAAACAGAGAAGTAAAGACAAGAGGGACAGCTTGCATTGCTTCAGCCTGAACCTTGGAAAATCCTGCTGAGGCCTCAGTGATTAGGGGTTCATGGGCCTGAAAAGATTCATTAGTTAGGGAGCAACTGGGGTGAAAGCAGTTCCATGATCTGAAGAGCTAACTGTGGAATTTAAAGAAATTAGAAGGATTTATTTTTCCTGAAAACATAACCAGAAAGTTTAGGAAGTATGAAAAAGAAGTCACAAAGGATGAAAGGTATCACAGGAATAAAAACTGTAAGGAGATAGGCACCAAAGGAAATAGCAACCTTTTCTACCAGCAGAGAGTTTAATAAGGAAAAAATGTAGAACACAGGGAAGGAAACGCCTGATAAACTAACACAGCTCTTTCCCTGTGGGCAGACAGTGCTGCAGGGATCCTAGGTAGGAGGATGTTCTGTAAAATCACTAACGTAATGAGATACTGTGACAGGAAGGTGCAGTTGTCAGTGAGGCTGGGAAAGCTCTTCAACCTGTTTTCAGGGACAAATGGTAGACAGCATAACCCCCGAGGTAGGCAGTGTGTGGTTAATTGCTAGGGCTCCTGAATTCTAGTCTTCTGGGACAACGACCTTTCACCAACTCTTGTGTCTTCTTTTTATTTAATGGGAGCACAGGTTTCTGTATTACTGAGAAATAAGAAATTGGGAATGTTTTAGATTGCTGTCAGAAAACTGACCCAAGAAAACAATTTGGCCATCTTTCCTGGGGATATGTACTCCATGTTTGGTGAGTAATTTAGTGGATACTTGGATGCCCATAGCTAAACATGTCTGTTTTACTGGTTCAATGGGATGGAATTGGCGTAAGTCATTTTCTACCCTTCAAGGTTTGCATTGTTTGGATGTGAAGTGAATGTTGACCTTTCAAATCTTGTGATCATCTGAATGCCTTCCATGACTTGTCATGTGGGGTGAATTGCCAGTTTGCTTCAGGAACTCACTTCTTATTTCCATCTGTTTCACTGAAGGCCAGTATAGTGTCTGGTTCTCTGGGATACATAAATAACCAATTTCTCTTGGCAATTAGGGACCAAAAACCTAAGTAGAAACAAAGAGAGAAGAGAACTCAAGATGGAGGAGCAGATCTGTGCTCTAAGTCTGTATTCTTTCTAAGCAACAGTCCATGAGAAACATTTGGTGACATCCAGCGTACCTTACCTATGCACCGTGTTTACCAAAATGATCTTTGCGAAGCCTGGTGGACTGTTGCACTATGCATAGGAGGTGTTCATTATCTGAAGTCCTAAAAGTTTTATAAGCAAGTACTACGTCCAGGCCTATATCTAAAATCTATAAATCTGGCATGTTGAATTTTAATGATAGGGATCAAAGCCCATAATACTTACTTTACTGTATGCCATGTTCCAAATAATAGTCTATCCTAAATTTATATGAAATCCTAATTAATAATGCAAGCATCCTAATACTGAAAGCTTTTACAGAGTTTCTCATTTTTAAAATCTGCTGTAGCATTCCATGGAAAGAAGGCTATTTTTATAAGTACTGATTTCAAAGTGTTCTTTCTGCAACTGGTATTATTTTATTTGTTTTTGCCCATTTTGTAATAATGATTCTTTCTTGGAGCAATAAAGAAAAGGGAAATAAAACGGAACATAACTTGGACTCCTCTTCATCTAAAGCTGTTGCTTTTTACCATTTTTAAATTGCTCTGTCCCCACCCAGAAAGTACTATCTTAAAATAAAGGGAATTATATGAAAGTGTGGAAAAAGGTCCAACTTATAAAAACTGTTCCTTTTAAAACACATGTATAATAGTTTAAAAACTTAGAGCTCAGCAGCAGAAAGCTATAGCATAGGGATTTGTGGATCCTTGTAGAATGAATATTGCCAAGATTTAATGCCATCCAAGGATGGGGAAAAACCATCCCAGGCTCCTTCCCAGTGCCAGGATTTGGGGTTCTCCCAGTATATGCTGGGGTGTCTGGCTAATTTTTGGATAAAAACCTTCTTGCTGTGGATGCTGGACACTTTGTTACAGGGAAAAAACTGCTGTTTCATGGCCCCCAGATTTGTCCTGTGCAACTTGCATAGTCTACCTTTAACTTTATTACCCTTCACAGCAGAAATCATTTTTTTATTCCCACCTAGGACTTCAAACTGATTTAACTTTTTTTCAGTAGATATCCCAAGTTCCTTAAGGTGGTGGTTTTTCCACTCTTTTTTGACTTTTTAAAAACTTTACAACTCCTCTCTCTCTCTCTCTCTCTCTCTCTCTCTCTCTCTCTCTCTCTCTCACACACACATGCACAAACACACACAGAGCTTAAATGAATATTTCAAGAAATACTACTCAGACTTACTGCAGGCATCATTTCCTAATTTTTTAATTTTCATCCCTTCTATTAAACTGCTGATCCAGGAGATTTTGGATACTGGCGTCTTACTACTGAGTCAGTGTGCTTGGCTGCTGGTGGACGCTGCTCTCGGTATTCTTGTTTTAGGGCCAGAATAGGGACACAACTGTGGTTAGAAATGGTGGCCTGGACTTTCTGACCTACAAGGTGAAATTCACAGCCTATGAGTCAGTGTGCATCTGACCTTGCAGAAAAGATCAATGTATTTATATTTTAGTCGCATGTTGTAGGCCTTGGCTTATACATCAAGGAGTGTGGTGGCGTGTGGTGGCTTTCTGCCCAGAAATAGAGGGAGAGCTCAAGTCTGCAGCTCACACTCTTGCTGTTGTGCTCTGGGGCAGTGGTTTGGGCTCAGAAACCCAGAGTTTAAGGGTGGATACATCTTTCTTCCTAGGGCCACCAGTCCCAGGCTACTGTTCCAGTGGTGTCAGGACTAAGCTTGAGTTAAGAACAGAGCCAGGGATGAGAAATATCTAGAAAGCCCAAGATGAGCAGGGCCAGGAATGGTAACTGCCACCTTCCACAGCTCAGGAAATGGCAGCTGCTCTAGTCGTTTCATTATGCAAAAAGTAGAGATCACTGCTTGACAAGCCTCTCAGTACTAAATGCCATCTCCAATCAATCCGCATCTAATGGAACCCACACTAATTAATAAGAGGACGTTGTCCATGCTGAGTCAGCTGAAAGTAAAGTGAAAGGAGTGAAGAGGGAGAACACGGTTCTTTTTACAAAAGAGATGCGGTACTTTTGCTATAAATGGCTTTGGGAATGACAAGTATTATTGAAAGAAAAATGAATATTGCTTCTTCTCTCACAGAGTAATTATCCATGGAACTTATGGTTAAAAATTAAAGCCTAAGTCATCTAGGAAGATGGCTGCATGGCATGTGAAATATGCAGTATTTTGGCTCTTTTTTTTTTGTATATATGCATTTATGGGAAGGTCTACAGGGTGTTCAGGATCTCACTACTAGATTGGACTCATAGTGATTTGCCTGTTTACAGTCTCCCAAGAGCTGGGATTACAGGCGTGCACCACCCTGCCCAGTCTCAATGTGCGTGCCATGGGGGCGGGGCCAACACAGCTGGCCCTGGGATCTAAACACCGGCTCCTGCACCTGCTTGCAGGTGCTTTAATCCGCTGAGCTATTTGGCTGGCCCTTAGATTTTTTAAATTTTTTTTAAATTTCAGCTCATTGTGATGAGCTAGTAGCATAAATAATAGGAAAAAATTTAAGTGACTAGCTTTGACCCTGTTGCTAAAAATCAATATGTTGCTGATTTTTTATATATTAAAATAAAAAGACTGGGAAAATAATATGACATGGTTAACAAACTATTTATGCTACAGCATTATGGCGCTGAAGATGCAGGATTTCCTTAGACTGCAAGTCATATGGAAGTGGGAAGTTATTTGAGGGGTGTGTGTGTGTAACTTGTACAAGAACTGGAAGTTGAGCACTCCTGTTCTGGAAGATGCAAAGAGGTCTGAATGGTTGTACTGTGGTTATGTACCATCATTTATTCTGTAGTGCAAACCTAACCCATCTTATTGTTCAGTAAGTACAAAATATTTTGTAACCAACCATTCAGAACAATGACCAAGAGAAAAAGAAATATTTAATGGAGAATGAAATAGTGCATTTTAATTTTCTCAGGAGAGTTCATGAAGAATGTGTAACTTTTATTTATGATCTACCAAGCAGAAGATAGGGATATCAGTGACCACAAGAAAACCAAAACAATATTCTAATGAATGGACACGATTTCCTAAAGCGCTGACATGAGCAACTATGGCATCACAGGTAAGTCACTCCTGCCTTGAGGCCTCAGCTATCCAGCAGGCATGTCAGCCTTGCTCCATGTAGACTGCAAAGGGCTTGTGTCACGGGAGTATGCAGCGTGTAGGACACTGAAGGTAATGCCCACCACAATGTTTGTGCATTGTTAAGGGCTGCATAAACATGTCCCTCCAAAACATAATGATCAAGGTGACTGCTATTCAGAGGGGACGTTGGAAAGCAATGAAGCCATGAGGATGGTGCCCTCATGAGTGGGATTCGTATTTTGATAAACGGACTGCAGAGAGCTGCATTATTCCTTCCACTGTGTGAGGACACCTATGGACAAGGACACTGGCCCTCCGCGAACACCACCTCCTCAGGCCTTGGGCTCGGGCTTCCCACCCTCTACAGCTGTGAGAAATATTTTGTTGCAGCACCTGAAATCACCAAGACAAAAATAGCGCAATATCATCGTAATGAAACACGCCATGAGGAATGATTCAAAAAGTAGAAATCAAAAGCACTGATGGGAAAATGGCACTCGTTCTGTGAGATTCCAATAGTTTTAAAATGAGCAAATGATGAGTATCCTGAAAAACATGTAGGTCACATGTTATCCTGCATATGAACTGTGGGGATGAGAAGAGGTTGCTCTGGCTGTACCAGGCTCCATGCTGGCGTGTGAAATCTCTACAGCTGTGTCCTCGCAATTGAGAGGACGTGTGCCCCAACTGAAACTTGGTATCATGTGAACTTTAATTCATTGATGAATTATTTTTTAAAATTTAATTTGTGATTAACGTGTCTTAATGGCACATACTGATGGAGTTCAGTTGATGGTTTGATACACGCATACAGGACACATTGAACAAATCCAACTCCCCTTTATCCTCTCTCCCTTTACCTTCCAACCTCCAGTAGCCACTATTCTACAATCAGGTCAACTTTTTTTTTTTTTAAAAAAAACTCCTACTTCTGAGGGAGAGAACATGCACTACTTCTCTTTCTGGGTCTGGCTTACTTTGTGTCATACAATATCATCCACCTCTATGTTTTTCTCTAAAGATCACACGATTTTTTCATCCTGCTTCTTATCCTGCTCCTTCTCTTCTTCTTTCTTGTTTTAGTGGGGATTGAAAACAGGGAGTACTGAGCTACATGCCCAGCCTGTTTTTCATTTTTATTTTGAGAGACCGGATCTCCTGAAAGTAGGACTGCTGGATCACATGTAGTTCTATTTTTTTTTTTTTTTGGAAGGATTTTCATACTGTTCTCCACAATGATGTACTATTTATATTTCCACCAGGAGTCTATGAAGATTCCTTCTTTTTTACATCCTCACTAGCAACTGTCATTTTCTTTCTTTCTTTCTTTCTTTCTTTCTTTCTTTCTTTCTTTCTTTCTTTCTTTCTTTCTTTCTTTCTTT